GTTATTTAAGGACCGACAGGAAAAGGATGGAGCTTATACCAACATCTGTTTAAAAGAGGAATTTTAGAATGTAGGGTGGCTTATGGTAACTGTTAGCTTCTTACACTGTCCACTAAATAAATAACGGTACACATATCCGAGGAAGTAAATCCAGACAATTACCTCTCCAAAAGTGGCAGGGTTGAAAGGCAACGCTGCAGTTCCAGTCATATATTTAGCTGGAGTTTTCATTCGGTGAGAGGCCTAAACAGAGTATATTAAGACTGCAACAGTCAGACCAAGGAACAGCAGACAGGATGGAAAGGTCAACAAAATTTTGCTGATGCAACTATGTTTACCCTCCACTTAGCAACCGAATACGTACAACAGTTCTATAGCAAGAAGGGCACAGGGCACTCGGTAACAATACAGTTCAGGTCCATCAACGTAATGTCCCTAGCAGCTTGGAAAGTGGAAACCCTGAACTCACAGGAGGGAATGGCAGGGAAGGCTGGAGGAGGGCAACACCCTTTCTTCTCCCCAGGAAAAAAGAAGTGCCCTAGAATCTGAAAACAAAATATCTAAACTGAACCTTCCCCGGTGCACCTTGAGGCCATTTCCCCTCGTTCTGTCGCTTGTCATAAGGGAGGAGGTACCGACCCCACCCCTCTGCACCCTCCTTTCAGGCAGCCGTAGGGAGCGATAAGGCCTCCCCTGAGCCTCCTCTTCTCCAGGCTGAACACCCCCAGCTCCCTCAGCCACTCCTCACAGGACTTGTGCTCCAGACCCTTCCCCAGCTCCATTCTCTTCTCCAGACATGTTCCAGCCCCTCAAAGTCTTTCTTGAAATGAGATGCCCAAAACTGAACTGGAATTTCAGTGACATCCAGAACCACTAGTGAAAACCTGAATTAGTGAACCAGAAGATGACTTCCTTGAAGATCGGGTTCCCTTCCCTACCCAGCAGATCAAGTACTACCCTGCCACATACTCTTTTTTTGCAGAGGGAGAGAGGAACACGCTAACTCACGCAGGAAAGTCATTTTGCACCTTGGCCTGCTGTGCCAAGCAGCGCATACAAACTTCCCAAACGTCACCAACACTCAGATTATTAATGGTAATGTGAAAATTCACACTTTGAAATAACTAACCAAAGAAATCCAAGAAAGGGTTTTTTAGTATGTCTTCAGGACATGCAAGATCTGAAAATTCCTCCAAAATTTTTTTTAATTCACCCAGGAGTGAGTCAATCTTGTTTATCTCAGGAGTGGCTAAACTAGACTGATCCATAGTTATTTAGTGACATTACAGAAGTCAAGGAAAATTTAAAAATTAACTACAAGGGGACAGGCATTTAACAGTGTTAGGTAAAACTCAATCTCTGTTTCCTAAAATTTTTATACCTGTTTGAATAACCAGTACTGTGGAAAAAAGCATGTTCTTTCATAAAGCTTCAAATACTTCACAGACTCGCAGAGTACACAGAACGCACCATCCAAATACAACACCAACATTGCACAAGAAATCTCTCATGTGTAAGAGTTCTGCTGTCACACAAACCATGCAAAACCAGATATGCTCAGATATGATATATTCCTGGCTTTTTTTTTAGAAGTAGACTATCACAGGAAAAACCAGCATTATCAGTGACCCTTCACATCACCTTTATAGCTTGTAAGTCTCGTACCTTACACAGAAGTGTGTAACAGACCAGATTTTAACCCCTCTCCAGGTGACCCCTCAGTGCAAACAGTGGTACAGTTTCTGGTGTACTGTTCCACTAGACTCATGAAATGTTATTTGCATGACCACTATTTGCACAAATTGCAATGAAAATGAATAATTAAGCCTTTAATTCAACAAACCAGACTTCTTCACTTGCTCCACTATCTCTTTTCCTAGCCTGGAATCTTTCTGCTCTTTTATACACAGTATTATCTGTTACCAGCCCAACTGGAAAGTGATCTTCCTATGCCTTCAAGAATGTGTTTGTGAGCAAACCATGTTTGTGAAACATGCTGGATTATCACCCTTGAACACTGGATTCCCCACTCCACCCATCTTCTGCACAAACAGCATCAGTGCGAAATAACGCCTTTGTTAAAGGATCTACCTCCTTGTTACTCAACACTTGGATCCCTTGTAATTACTGCCAGCAGAAGGTAACGATGAGTGCTAATCCTGGCAATGCAATACTATGTGTAGTCTTCACTGTGATTTTAGCCAACCTTATTCCTCGGAGGAGGAGAGGGAGATGGATACAGGGAAGGGAAGACGACACTTATTGCATGCCTAAGCATCAGGCATGTATCTATCACTTACTAGGACAGAACCACTGTACCTTGTCCTGAATGTAATGCACCATTTCAGGGAAGGAAGGCATCTGCTTCCCAGAACTCTCCTTTTCATTTTTACCAGGAAATGTTCTCAGCACCCGCTGGGCTTCCCCGTGTACCTCTTCCCGCCTTTCAGAAGAAAAGATGAGAAACAGGCATTATTTGCACAGATGAAATGACTTTTAATGACCAGTAAGATATCTTGGGGAGCTGGGGAAGAGAGAACAGTTTTTAAATGAGATGTGGTTTTTTTGAAAGGAAGGGGGGAAACAAAAAAACCTTGCATTAGAAATGTTAATGATCTGTTTATTTTAGAGAAGGGTAAGAAAAAGGTTAGTGATGATATGCCTCTGCAAAACAATTTGAATCGGCCCAATTCTGCTTCTCTTACACTCTTCTAGTGTTCACCACCAGTTCCTGGATTCCACATCCTTGTTTTCCTATGTGATCCTGCTCCCCAACACTTTGTATATTCAATATTGTCAATATTGTCTGCAAACCAGCTGACACCTACCAGCCTTATTGCTATCTGCTCAGAACATCAGCTCCTGACACTGTGCTGACACTGAAATGACAGGGCAGTTTGTTGCAACTGACCCATTTAGCTTTCCTTAGTTACACAATAGCCACTCACATAAAAAATTAAGCAATTGAAGTTGAAAAAACCCCACCACTTAAACTGCAGTTAACAGAAAACTGAAAATGAAATTATTACTGTAATTTAATGAGTTGACTACTCTTCAGCAGAGAGTGGCAACTTGTCACAAGTAAATGCTCCTGACTCTGCAAATACAAACTAAAAATAGACCGATAGTATTTGCCAGGAAAAAAATGATTTCCAGCCACTGTAAGGCTGATTTCAGTTAATGCGTTTTTAGTTTGCAATTGCAATTGATATTAACATGAAATGCTTTAGGGACAGCAGTTCACCTCAAACAACAAAATGAATCCAAGCCAAAGACTACTGTAATTGGCAGTAACCATTCTCCACGGAACTGTCAAGAATGTCCCAACGTAAAGGCTGATTTCCAAATTACTGTACTTGATGTTCAGTGACTGAGTTTCTACGCACACACGTACTTACATATATGCATCTGTATTTCATCCCAATGTTTACTGGATGCCAATACATGTGTGCATGTATATATATGAAAATAACTTGAACAGGAAAACAACTTACGGGTCTCCTGCAGCTAACAGGAGTAAGTATCTGGAAGGGATATGATCTGGAGGGAACACTGTGCTAGCAAATTTCACAGCCACTTGACGTACTTGAACTTCAGGCTTAAAGAGAACAGACACAAACATATGGTTGAGTTTTAAATGAACACGCTGACGACCTGCACTCACCACTCGTAAATCATCAGTCATCTGTTTTGTCCTCTGGTACCAACATGACTCAGAGTTTAGACATTCTGAGACACTCTTCTTGCTAGCTATTCATACGGCAGGAGGCAGGGAAAAGAAAGACTAGCTGCTCATATATACACAAGCGGAGAATGAAGTGTTTAATTAAATACATGCACATTTTGGGGAATCACAGAATAGTGTTATTGCTAATTCTCAGACATCTGAACTGTCCCACCCAGGCAGTTTTGAAAGCACGAATGACATATGTCACCTACCCACACAAAACAAGAGCTGCGCTTAGGAGCGGCACAACCAGGAGTGGAAAAGAAACACCACCTTACGGTGGTCATTCCCTCTGCTGGGGTCAGAGAGTCTCAGAATGGTATTGCCTGGAGACTTAGATCACTCAGGTACACAGTCAAAAGAGCCATCATCATGGGAAGTCTTACACAGTGGCTAGTGCAACCACTAGAAATACACACACCTCTGCAGCCACCCTGAGTCCCCATGCAAACACAGAGTACACAAAAAACACCTACTGAAAACCCAGACCTCTGGGGGATTCTGAACACAAATAAGGTAAAGTAACACCGTCAGCCAAGTGTGGTTTCCTTTGGACTAGTGTCTCAAGGCTGAGCTTCTGGGCAAGTTCCCAGATGCTTATAATGTTAGAAATCACACCACACTGAAATCCCCACTCAGCAGTGAATGACCCTTCCCACTAAACTCTTGCTTTCAAAAAGCGTTTCACATGGTACTGTCCTTGAAGCATCTATTTCTCAGTTTTCTTAGGAGGAGACTACAAGAAGCACACGGTGCAATTGCAGCGGCTTTGCTTCTTTGCAAGACAGAACACAGATTGAAAACTGCACTGTCACCCTTCTTGCAGACACTGAACCACCTTACAAATATTTAATCTGAGCATACACACTCCCCTTTCGCCCAGACAAGCCAATACACTCAGTAAGAAAAGGGAGACCTGTTCCAAAAGCATACAACAGGAAGTGTCAGGAAACAGGTAATCAATCAATTTTTTTTTTTAAGGCTTTTTTTTAAAGGCAATTAATTTTTTTGGAGTCCACTAAAAATACCTTCATTAAGTAAGAAGCTACAAGGGCTTCCATCAGGGTACGCTGGGCTCCTTCCAGGTTACTGTATGCTCCAACCATCATCGACAAGGCCTCCTGAATGGCAAGCCTAGTATCAGCATCTTCCTGCAGTACAAAACAGAGTCTTCGCTTTACAGTGCGCGGTGACAAGGATTAAGCAAAACCAGCACAAAATATTAACCGCTTCCCAAAGCCAAGCCCTGTCAACACCCACCTTGCATAAAGCTTCAAAAAACTGCTGTACCAGTGCTATATCCTTGGTAAAGAGCTGAGGCATTCGGCTGAAACAAGATATTTTATTTTGTTAAGTTTTTGTATTTTTTTTAAATCGAAATGCTTCACATTTCATTGGTCTTCCCCTCATCCCACATTTTAACTGCCAAACGGATCAGAGGTAGCAAAGTTTGCTCTCTCATCCATTTCCACCACTGAGCGGCACCCCTGCCGTAACACAGTTTGGAAAGCAAGACGCCCTATGGACAACCACTTCCACCACCGGCATACTACTGAACATATCACTTATCTAGCCTCATGCCCCCTCGTCTTTGCCGTACATTCCTTGAATTCATTGTTTGTGGCAATCCTGAAAGTGGAACCATCTCTTATTCTGTGCATAATTCATGAGCTGCTACTAATCACCGCTAGAAAAGCTATCAGCTAAAAACACGTTTCTTTTTACGCCCCTGGAGATGTCACAAGAAGACTTTCTCTGCATTGTAAACTGAACTGTGAAGTTGGCAGGTGGCATAAAGCTTGCTCCTGATAAATGAACAGATTACTAGGGAAAAATTACACACTGTCCCATTGCTTAAATGGTGCTTCAGTTACCTGGAGAGCTTTCCAACTGCCGAATATGCCATTGATAGTAGTTTTGAATCCTTGAATGATAAAAATATAGTTCAGCAAAACCAGAAATACATAAAGGCATATCTTTTATAACAAAACATTTACTTTAAATCCTGTCTTCAAAGTGCTCAAACATGCTTTCATGGACAAAGAATCGTGGAACACAAAGTAATCGTATCCAAGAATAAAAGCATTACATAGGAACAAAGGTAGCATGCTTTTCCACAAGAAACAGAAAACTACAAATGGTGACAAAATGTAAAATTCTCCCTTCTGGTCTCAACAAATCACATTTTATTTCACAAGAGAGAGCTAAGGAGATTCAGGAATTACACAAGACATTAGAAAAGGGACAGAAGCCTTAGACTGGCCCTGAACAGCTTTACACGCAGAAAGCTGCTTGCAAAACGAATCCTGCAGATGACCAGTGTAGCACGTTTATATATGGGCTTACTCCCTCCTGAACACTCCTTCTTCATGCCCTTCCTAATGGCAGGAGAGCCACATGTGTTCAACATCAACTGAGGCCACAAGATCAAATCCAACAGTTGGAATGAACCAGCAAGAGGATCAAATCTGCAGAAGAGGAGGAATGCAACACCAGGCCTTCGTAGGACACATGTGAGTATCATGGGGAATGTGCCTTCTGAATGGCACTGAAGGACTGCTTCAGGCCAGACCGGCATTTGCAGTTCTGTTTGTAACACCCTTCCCATAGCAATACCGTCCCTGGACGGACAGGACAAACAGACCTATAGAGCTGCCTATCACAACAGGGTATATGCCTGGAGCTGAGGCCCCTGGATGCTCCAGAGTAACGAGTAACAGCTCCTACTGTAGCATAACAGATGCTCCTCTGGCCTCACTCTTTAGATTACCAACACTATGACTTCTCGAGGCTTTTCAAATAGTGCCCAAGCACCTATCCATAGCTGTTAAAACACGTAAAACACTTTTTAAAATGCTTCTCCTTAGAGAATTGCTTCTCTTCCAACAAAATTTCTTTAGAAGTATCCTTTGATAGCCATCTCAGGCAACTACAAAAAAGAGATTTATCTGCTTCCATCATAAAGCTATTCGCCTTTTGCTTGTATTCATATGAAGAATTATAGCTCTGCATTAAAGAACCTTTGAACTTACCTCTTTGTATTCATTGATCAGCTTTGTAAGTCCATTTAAAAGCATTGGACCTAACGGCTTTATTTTACTTTCTGGACAACTGCAATTAGAGACACCAGCAAACAAAACATTAACAAAGTTGAGAAGAAGTGATACTGAGCTATGTTTAATGGATGCAAAAGATAAACCGAGAAATTACATTTTAATGTAAGCATACACACCCATGGATTTCAGGATTAAGGAAAAAAACCCACCCTACTTCATATGAGTTTTGACAGAATCAGAATTGTTTAGGTTGGAA